TATATATATTATATATATATATATATATATATATATATATATATATATATATATATATATATATATATATATATATATATAATATTACAAAATTACTGAACTTTATTTTTGAAGTTATAGTATTCCATAATCATTGTTGAACTTCCAGGTGAGTGATATACACTTACATTGCTATAATCACAATTTCATTATCATGTGGGTTGAATAGTTTTATCTCTATTGTCATTACATTGCCGTTTATTAATACTGTACCATTACTCCACATCTGATTTTCTTAATCATTCTCGACAGAGAGTAGTTTTCTATTTTCTTATCTGGTACAAAACTACAATGGAACTGTACATTATTTCTCTTATTTGGTACAATACTCTATCTTTGTACTCTGCTCATTCATATTTATGTACAAAATATGCATAAATTTCATGTAGTACAGTTGCCTTTGTTCTCATCTCACATTCGGCGAAACTAGGTTCAATTCCTGGGCGGGACAGAAATGGTCGAGTGCATTTCCTTTCACCTAATGGGACTGTTCACCTAGCAGCAAATACAGTACTGTTGGTACCCAGGAGTTAGGTGACTTGTGGGTTTGCATCATGAGGAGGGTCAGTAGTTCGTCCTTTAGGGGAGGGGGAAATCTCGATACAAGCCTAGAGCATATATATACACAAGCTCCTCTCACAAAACCAAGTATTCCTGTGCCCATTTTGGCCTTTGTTCTCTATTGGCTTATGGATATTTTTCTCAAACACAAATACTGGTTTCCTCAGTCTCATGACTTTCTATATACAGTATGTGTATTAATTTCTTATAGACCTGTATCATTGACAAGTGTAATAGTGAAAGTATTGGAAAAACTAATCAAAACTAAATGGGTAGAACACCTAGAGAGAAATGATATAATATCAGACAGACAGTATGGTTTTTGATCTGGAAGATCCTGTGTATCGAATTTACTCAGTTTCTATGATCGAGCCACAGAGATATTACAGGAAAGAGATGGTTGGGTTGACTGCATCTATCTGGACCTAAAAAAGGCTTTCGACAGAGTTCCACATAAGAGGTTGTTCTGGAAACTGGAAAATATTGGAGGGGTGACAGGTAAGCTTCTATCATGGATGAAAAATTTTCTGACTGATAGAAAAATGAGGGCAGTAATCAGAGGCAATGTATCGGAATGGAGAAATGTCACAAGTGGAGTACCACAGGGTTCAGTTCTTGCACCAGTGATGTTTATTGTGTACATAAATGATCTACCAGTTGGTATACAGAATTATATGAACATGTTTGCTGATGATGCTAAGATAATAGGAAGGATAAGGAATTTAGATGACTGTCATGCCCTTCAAGAAGACCTGGACAAAATAAGTATATGGAGCACCACTTGGCAAATGGAATTTAATGTTAATAAATGTCATGTTATGGAATGTGGAATAGGAGAACATAGACCCCACACAACCTATATATTATGTGAGAAATCTTTAAAGAATTCTGATAAAGAAAGAGATCTAGGAGTGGTTCTAGATAGAAAACTATCACCTGAGGACCACATAAAGAATATTGTGCAAGGAGCCTATGCTATGCTTTCTAACTTCAGAATTGCATTTAAATACATGGATGGCGATATACTAAAGAAATTGTTCATGACTTTTGTTAGGCCAAAGCTAGAATATGCAGCTGTTGTGTGGTGCCCATATCTTAAGAAGCACATCAACAAACTGGAAAAGGTGCAAAGACATGCTACTAAGTGGCTCCCAGAACTGAAGGGCAAGAGCTACGAGGAGAGGTTAGAAGCATTAAATATGCCAAAACTAGAAGACAGAAGAAAAAGAGGTGATATGATCACTACATACAAAATAGTAACAGGAATTGATAAAATCGACAGGGAAGACTTCCTGAGACCTGGAATTTCAAGAACAAGAGGTCATAGATTTAAACTAGCTAAACACAGATGCCGAAGAAATATAAGAAAATTCACCTTCGCAAATAGAGTGGTAGACGGTTGGAACAAGTTAAGTGAGAAGGTGGTGGAGGCCAAGACCGTCAGTAGTTTCAAAGCGTTATATGACAAAGAGTGCTGGGAAGACGGGACACCACGAGCGTAGCTCTCATCCTGTAACTACACTTAGGTAATTACACTTAGGTAATTACACACACACACATACACACATATATATATATAAGATTAATGATTCTAACACAGATCTTCTCAATATTTCTTATGGTTTTCTTCACTGTCAGGGGTAATTGAAAAATTAACTCTCTTAAATTATACACAGTAATATGTTGTACTTAATATGCCAAGTTGCATAACAAGCCAAATTTTCTTGAAATTATATATTTTTTAGTTTCTTTATGAAATGATAAAGCTTTCCATTACATTATATATGATATTTATTTTTAATTAAAACTAACAGAGATATTTCATTAAATTTTATCTACCTAACCTAACCTAACTAAATCAATAATTCATGCTCTTAATATAATATAATAATATTAATTGGATAAGCCAATTTGAAACTAACTATTTGAAAATACAGTAATGAAAATCACTCTGGCTGCTAGGCAAATTGGGCCTTGCATACTAGGCCAAGTAGTACAGTTCTGGCTATCAGGTATGATGTATATATGCATTTTTATTATATATATGCATATACTTTATGCCTATATAATATATATATGTATATACTTTATGATAGGGGAGAAATATATATATAAGTGATTCTTGTATATATGAAGTTATATAGATAGTGATTTATTACATGTGTTATTATTGCATATTTCAATACCCAACAGTAATTAAAGGATAAGTGCTACACTTGTAATGTATGTATGTGTATGTATGTATATCACCCGGAGAGTCAGTTTAAATACCTTGTGTTCTAACAAGCAATGGGATGTGTATTGCCTTGCACATTGTTACTCAGTAGTTTGGTTGGTCACCGTGCTACCTCATTAACTATGTACCCTGCTTGGAAGCCTCGCCTAGCAATGAATTCATATTGCCAAATATGAATATATATATATATATATATATATATATATATATATATATATATATATATATATATATATATATATATATATATATATATATATATATATATATATATATATATATATATATATATATATATATATATATATATATATATATATATATATATATATATATATATATATATATATATAATCATACATTCTGTATATTTCTGTATACATATGTGCATGCGTGCACATACACACACACACACACACACACATTAGGTAATTTACACTCACACACACATACAGTATATGGACATATGTCTTCATGTAATTTTAAACATGTTCCATACTGCAATAATCACTCAAATCACTTATTAAATAGGATTAAGTTTTTTTCATTTTTTATTTATGTTTTAATGCTACAAAGGACTCAGGTTGGCATCCTTGGATAGGTCCCTATAGACAAATTTTTGGTTACTGACATAACTTGATCTTATTGGTGACTTTGAGCCTTACCTGTTAAATCCTCTTTTTTTTTTTATAATGACATAACCAATGATAAGCATCATCATTGTGATGCTCAAAGTCATCTGATCCATGTTGCTTGTGTTCCATTTACACTACATGATAAGGAGACTTAGTCTAAATGCTGTCTAAAGTGTTCTTTATTTTCTGACCACCGACAAATCCTACCAATTCCTCGAACATACCATACCCATTGCTCTCACTCATCACAGTCCTTTCATATCTCAGTCTTTGCCCATCCATCAATCCCCTGTGTGTCAGTGTTAACCTGTGACTGTTTCCATCAATCCTTAGAGTTTCTTATCTTAGTGCCAACTTATTCACGACTTGTAAATATTATCGCATTAAGGGGGGTCAATGTTCATATTAGGGTTTTGTTAATGCTGGGAAAGACATTCTCCTAGTACTGTATTGCTCATGATTTTCCCTCTTGCACACTCCTAATTCTTTCTTCTACTTTTTATATATTTTAGTAGTTTCCCTTTCCTTTAGTAATTTTTAGTTTAAATACGAAAGTTACTTGCTTTGAGAATATTATATAGAAAGTTCTTATGCAGTTTGTTTATTTTTGTAGATATTAGCATATATTATTCAGTAATGCCAATATTCTCTGTTCTGTGTAAGAATCGACTCTGGCAATTACCTTTTACTTTATTATAATCTGTTACTGTCAAGTTTTTCTAATAACTGTAGAATAATTTATTGTCACTTGCATTTCATAAATGCATTTCGCATTGTACCATATGTACATTCAGAAATGCTGCCTGACCTATATTTTTTTAAATAAAAAACAACTTAGGAAACTAATGAAATAAGCTAACTGTATGTTTGTTTCTTCCAAGAATTTTTTCAAGGATCCATGGAATACTTTTGACTTCATCACGGTGATTGGTTCCATCATCGACGCCTTGGTTGTGGAGTTTGGGGTAAGTACCCCAATGTGAAGTTTATTTTTATGATAAGTAACAGTAAATTAACTAATATGTATTCTATTTTTCCTAAGGCAGAAAAGGGCAGCAACACTATAGATTATTTGGCTTCTTTTGTTATTTATATTTGTGTAAAAGGTGACTGAATTTTAGATATAATTTTTATTAAGTTGCATTTTATTAAGTAATACATATTAGTGTCATTTCATTTGAATTGATATATAGGTTTGTGATGATGATTATAATCAAGAGTGCTTAACACTTCTGCTGAGGAGGACACTCATGAGTCCTGTCGGGGGTTCCCAGGAGTATGTGCGGACAGCATCTGTAGGTGCCCATACATATGGAACAATACTGCAGATAAAGTCTGCAAAAGTTTAGTCAGAACTGCAACCTCCAGATGTATCTGGGGATAGAGTGGTGGACACTGGGTAGGATATTCAAGTTTATTCGATGCTAATGATAATTTAAATACAATAGAGTATATGCAATGATAATAGGGTCTCCATGAATGTCAAGAAATTAATTCTTTCAAAGCAAAAGTATGTGCACAAGACTAGGATCTTGGTAGTATGTATAGTTGGGTTCATTACTGCACACAATTCAAAGTCCTAGGTTTAAATCCCAGGTGGGACAGAAATGGTTTAGCATATTTCCTTTCACGTAATGCTCAGTTCACTTGCAGTAAATAGGTACCTGGGAGTTAGTCAACTGTTGTGAATTTGGTTCCTGGGAAGGGTCCAAGTTTAACCTTTAGTTAAACTTTTAAGTTTAACCTTGGGAGACCTTGATATAAGTCTGATGTATATTCTGTATGAGCTCGCTTATCAAGCCTGCTGAACTTATAAATCAGCTTAGATAGTATTCATAGGTTGGCTGTCTCCGACAATAGGAATTATAGGACCTGTGGGTTCTGCAGAGCAGGCTGTGTCATCCAACAGGAATTATGTATGCATGCAAACTGCAAAGTATTATTTGTTTTTATGTTATTTTCTTTTACGCTACATATGTGTACAATATATTCCTAAAACATTTTTGTAATACACAATATGGGGCTATCATGAAAATGGTCCTCTCGTCTGTGTGCAAAAAAACTATTAATGATTTATTTTTGTAGAATGACAAATTTGCATGCCAAAAATAAGAAAATGCAAAAAAAAAAAAAAATTAAATGCGAGTCTTTTCTGTTTTTTTAAGTTGTACACGGTTACCATGTACAACTCAGGGTCATGTACAAAAGTGGCAGGGTCCATGTACAAGTACAGTACATGTCAGCCATGTACAAAAGTGGCAGGGGTCACTTTTTCAACATTTCAACAACAAACACAGTGTAGTTTACTGAGATAGAAGGCAAGAGGAGATTCTAAACTTTGATGGATTTATGCTCACTGCTTCATTTATTAGTTTACATACAGTGTAAATTAGCTCAATGTATGTACACATGATGACAAAAAATAGATTAAATACTGTACATAAGTGTGTAATACAATATGTATACCTATATTGCAAGTAGGCCTGGATCTAACACAGTTCAAAGGAAGTTTCTTCTAACCCATTCTCTTACTGTTGTTCTGTCTGGTAATGTCATCCAGAAATAGGTGGAAAAACTGGAAGAAAACACCAAAATGTGTTTTAATGATAACCACACTATTACAGTATATGATAACCTCATTGCATAGTAAGCAATTAAAAGCAATAGCAGTATTTTTGAAGCAAACCCTTTGAAGCACACTATGCCCCTTTCTGCACTTCCTAAGCAAGTGGCCCTCTTATGACAAAGTATGGAGGGGTTGCAGGAAGAAATTGTGAATGAAATCAAAGCAAATTTGTATGCAGGAGGGCAGAGCAGAACACTCAGATTGGGAGGATAATAACAACATACAAGGTGCTGTAAACAGTAGCATGCAGCTATATATACCCCACCTGCATTCTCCCCCTCCTCCACCCCCCTTTGCTGCCACATAACAAAAAGTGATTTATTTTGTTTGACAAAGGAAACATTTATTACGAAAAAATTTGACTAATTAGAGGTATACATTCCAGTAGATTTTTTATATAAACATTCGTTAAGTATGTTTACTCTATACATACAAACTATTTCAGTTATTGAAAATTAATATGAATATTGATTATACAATATTCTGATTTGTGGGCAACCATAGGTTAATGTCTTCGCACAATGAAGTCACAATAACTTGAAAAATCAATGAGAAAATCTGTGGAGCAGTGTGTGGAATTGAACTTGCATCCTGTGTCACCCTAGATACATGCATATTTGACTAGGCCACAATGAGTTTAAAAGTAACACCACCTGAAGTCCATCTGAACTTGCAAGGAGTTTGGAGTTACTGCTAGTACCCAAATCCAAGTTTATTTGTTTATTTTTAAGATTAGAATAAGATGCTGGTTTGTTTCCACACATTGCTTCAATGATATTTTCATGGATTTATCCACTCTTGTGATTGAGTTGTGCATTGACAGGAGCGGTCGGTGGAGAACGTCATTACCCACATCAGAATGTGAGCAGGTAACTTGTAAAAATTGGATTTGGGTCCTACCAGTTCCCTCAAAATCCTTGATTGTCCGGGCAACCTTCAGATTGTGTTACTTTTAAGCTCATCGTGGCCCTTAATGCGTGCATCATCCAGGTTACCCAGGATGTGAGTTTGGTTCCACATACTGCTCTAAAGATTTTCCTGTTAATGTTTTCATTTGGATGTTTTGTAAGGCAAAGATGATTGAATGATACTGTAAGATATATCCAAATAGGAAGTGTGTGTTAATTTGCACAAAAATTCCTTATTTATTCCATAAAAATATGAATATAAAGTGAAGCTGAAGAGCTTTCAATAAATAGTGAAGTGGAATTTACAGTGAAGAGTGATATATTCAGCACACATGCATTAGTGATGTATACAGCATACTTGCATGTATACAGTGTACACGCACAATGCACCAGAGATATATACTGTCCATCATAAATGCAGCTTGAATATGCCTCCATGCCTCCCCTTGATGTTTATGATGATACAATTTTGGCTTTGGCAATTAGTCTATATGAATTTATTATTTTTACTTAGCCAATTTTATTTTTGTACTACAGTGTTTTCACAGTAATATTACTTTTTACAAAATATTTTGAAATTTTTCCAACTTTTTCATTCATGTTGAGCATCTTACACTATATTCTTTACACTAGTAATTGTAGTGCACCTGCTCTTAACTACTCTCATAAAGCTGGAATCTTAACTTTTTATAAAACAACAATTTTTTGATTGATTACATTACATTTTTTCAAGTACCATAGTTTAACACACTCTAATTATCATGTGATATCCTTTCAACATAGGATCAGGTAAGTGGAGCATGGTGCCAAGTGCATTTTGTGTCTTGTGAAAATAAATTGCAAGGCTGGAGAGAGTCACTTGCAGCTATGTGCTGTCCACACAGTGTATTCTTATTGTGATATTATTATGTTCATTTTCTATTTCTAGACAACAAAATTGTCCAAGCTGAGGATAATGCGTTATAATTCTTTCTTTCGAACGTGTTTCTTTTTTTTTGATGACCCAGTATATTGTGTGGCAAATTATGACAATTACATCCCTCCTTATGTGGTACAAACATTTGTTTTGGTTGTAATTTTTTTTTTCATTGGTTTACAAGAATCTGTGTGTTTCATTAACTTCTCTGACTATGCATCTTCCTCAACAAGTTTGTTTAACATTCAAGCTGCTTGTTTACCTTTGTCATGAAGAAAACCTGGATTAGACTTTTATTTGTTATTTTTGCATGTTTTTTATTTTGTTTAAAAGAGTCAAGGTAACTTGAAACAAAATATTATAATACAATAACTTTTTTATTTGTTGTTTTCTTTGTCTCAGCGAATGTATGGAGAAGGGACAGTAAGTTTCCCAATATAATGAGGTAGTTGTTGATCATAGCGTACCTCCCAAATAGGCTTCCCTCTTTTAAATTTAGGCTCTTATTCTAGATTGTCAGTTTGCTATGGATAATGAGTAGACCATATTTCAAATGCTCACAAAGTGAACTCAATACACTATTTCATGTTGCATTATTATGACAAATAATTACTTAGTGTATGTGCGTCTATAAAAAAAAAGCTGACAGAAGTTTGAGTTAATATTTAGGAAAAATTATATTAAAAATCCTTTGAGCAGACTTTAATGTTTAATATCTGCTTCACAGTGATGATCATAATTTTCACAGTTGTTAATGTGTGAGAGATTTACAGATTCACAGAATTTGACTATTTCTCTGTGGGCAATAATACCGATAACACCTCGTGCAGTGACATGGTCTAGTCATCACCTGAACGTTCCTTCTTGGACTGGTCACTTATTCAGTTTTCTTTCATACTATTGGTACCAAGAAATATGCAGTACAGTTTTGGTCTACAAAGTATTGTTGATTATAATTTAAATTTATTTTGAACTTTTGTTGATTGGAGAATTGGAACATGCATTGACCAGCTTCTTTGCATTTATTATTTTGAGGCAGCTTTTGTTGACATGTGACTGCAGTGCTTGATGACTTGTTCTTAAACAGAGAAAGCTTAACCTATAAGTATGTAATTTTAATAGGCTAAGTAATATTGGAACCTTGTGTAGATTTGGCACCTTGCATTGTCTGATATGATGTAAAACCTTAAGAATAATGATAATTATTTTTTTCATATAAAAACCAAACTTTATTACATTTTACTAAATTTTAACTAACAGTATGACTGCATATACAAAATACAGTCAGTAAAAATGTTGTAATAATCAAAGTCATGACTAAATTATATATATTATTTCTGTATAGTATATGTATACAGGATATTGTATGTATATATATACATTATATATATATATATATATATATATATATATATATATATATATATATATATATATATATATATATATATATATATATATATATATATATATATATATATATATATATATATATATATATATATATATATATATATATATATATATATATATATATATATTATATATATTATATATTATATACTGTATATAACAAGGTTGATCACAGATTGACATATTTCTGGGATGGAAGTGAAAGCTAATATTTGAGGGAGTCAGGGCTAAGCTTGTGGGGCCATACTCTGAGTCTTACGATCAATTAATGCCCCGTTCCCAAGTGAGGCCCCTTTATAAGCAGATATGAACTCTAACTGCAGCCCCACATAGTCAAGTAACCAGTCGCATCTGCTGCACATGCCCACCTTTCCTTTTGGTGTTTTGCTTGGGCAAAGAAGTGGGGGGGGGGAGACTCTCAATGGGATTCTCACAGCTTTAAGACAGGCACAAGCAGGTGCCTTCTCATAAGGAACTATTCCTTCCTACATAAGCTTTCACCTTTTTACTTGTTGCATAACTCGTGGTAACGTGAAACGTGACATTTTGTGTGTAGCCAAACTATTTAATCTTGTCCAGTCTGCTTCTCTTACTTTATACCTCTTTTCTGATTGCTTCTGGTCTAATTATTTATCTCTGTATTTTAACATGGCTATGACTCTTAATGGAGTCAAGTTGGACCTGTCAGCTTTGACATATGTTGTTTCCTCTTGGTTAGATCTGCTCAACCCTAGATCCGCCGTGTTTACTCTGTCCTCTTACCTTTAGCTGCCTTGTTGCAGTCCCTCTTAGTTAATTTCCTGTTAGGTTTGCACAGGCAATTGTGTCAGTGGTTTTGTTTTCCAGAAATATTATTTATGTTCACTTTTCAACCTTTACTTATTGGTTTCCCTTTTACAGCATTCTTTTACTCATGCTTAAGTCCAGTCTACATTCTTAATATTTATTTTAAATTCCCATTTCATGTAATTATTTTGCACTTACCCTAATACATAATTAAAATAAATTAAATTCCTCACCTATGTACTTATACAGTACTTTATATATAATCTACAAATTATTTGTTATAAATTTATTTATAACTATTTTGTATCATACCCATTGCTTTCCCTCCAAACCCAGAAATTATATATATATATACGTATATATATATATATATATATATATATATATATATATATATATATATATATATATATATATATATATAAAAACAATATATATATATATATAGGCAGAGAAGTGCGTTCTGGCTATATATATATATATATATATATATATATATATTTATTTATTTGTTCTAGACACATTGATTTAACTATTTGTCTCATTCAATAACTATACATACATGTGTGTGTGTGTGTATATATGCACCCACACACATGCACAGCATACTACATATACCATATTTAGTATTCAGAATTAATGGACTATAAATTGCCTACCACTCCTTTTCAGTCAGTTGTTTGTTATACTGATTTATTATTTTAATTGCATCTTTACAGGAAAACTTCATCAATGTGGGATTCTTACGTTTATTTCGAGCAGCTCGACTTATAAAATTACTCCGCCAGGGTTACACTATTCGAATATTATTATGGACGTTTGTGCAGTCTTTTAAGGTAAGCAACATTTTCTTATGTTGAGTTTATAGTACAGTAATTACTGAGTGTGCAAGTTTGCTCTGAGATTGTTCAAGTGATGTGCAAATTTATAATGTATTGATCTTAAACATATTATCCTCACAGGTCAATGGCAATGATTTCAATTTTTGTGTTAACTAATTCCTGTCAGTAAAACTCATTTGCATTTTCTGTCTCATTTTGTCAAACCTTTAAAAAATTTATAAAGAAAACACTGTTTAGAGCTGTAATGCTCAATTTTTTATATTTTATAGAAAGGAAAAAAAACTACTTTGCAACTGTCATAACTTCAGAATAACTACAGTGATAATTTGTTAGCAAATCATACCCAGAAGGTAAGCTTCTGGGTATTAATTATATATTTTGTTGACCAGACCACACACTAGAAGGTAAAGGGTCATTCACAATTGACTTGAGAATGGTCCAGGACGGACCGAAACGTCGTCGTCCCTTCACCTTCTAGTGTGTAGTCTGGTCAACATACTTTAGCCACGTTATTTTGACTCATCGCCTGCATTATATATTTTATCAACAAGGTAAATTAGTTGATAACAATATACAGTGGAACCTCGAGTGATGAGCGGCTCCATCTACGAACATTTTGAGTAATGAGCGAGCCACTCGCCGAAACTTTGTCTCGATTTACGAGCTTCCACTCCATTAACGAGAAAACCATGTGGGGCTTCTTAACGTTCCCACTGGTTCTCTCAAATTCTCAGATGCCTCTGACGATGCATATAAAAAAAATTTTTTTTTTAAAGATGCTAATGATTATGGGATGTAAAGGGGTGACTGCTGTAATGTTGCAAGGCATTGATCTTTTTTTTCTTTTTAGAAAAAAATAAAAAAAAAGTGAAAAAAAAATTGAAAAAAGAACAAATGCCAAAAAGGTTCATTCAGTGTATGTCAGGTAGGCTGCTTCATTTTCTATAAAAAAAATAAAAAGTGAAAAAAATTTGGACAAATTTGAAAAAAAAGTCAAAAGGTTCATTCAGTGTATGTCAGGTAGTCTGCTCCATTTTCTTTAAGAAATAAAAAAATAACAAAAATTAACAAATTTGAAAAAAAAATGTCATAAAGGTTTGTTCAGTGTTTGTCAGGTAGGCTGCTCCATTTTCTATAAAAAAAAAAAATGAAAAATTAAAAAAAATTTAAGAAATTTTAAAAAGGAAAATGTCATAAAGATTCGTTCAGTGTATGTCAGGTAGGCTGCTCCATTATTTTGAAAAATCAAATATATTGATATTTTTTGGTGGTGGAACGGATTAATTTTATTTCCATTATTTTAACACTTTCGCGCGGTGGGCGCATGACCTCCCCACTACCCCCGGTGGGTTTGGGCATTCCACGGGAGCGTGCGGTAATTCTGAAAAGTGTATACTCTTTTCAAATTTGTCACCTCAATTCTCGTCCTACGATATTCAATTTGGTATCAATGTGTTCGCAATAGAATTCTCTAGAGGAGTAAATGCATATAAACTCAAAAAGCCCGGCTTACCACCCATAGCAAACAGAGAAAATGGGAGTGCGCAAGAGCGATAAATGTGTACACTCTTTTTCACTTTGGTCACCTCAATTTTCATCCTAGGTTTGGATTTTTGATGCCTTGTATGTTGGCAAATGAGAAAGATGTTATCGTATTTGTGGAAGTGCTGGGTGTTAATATCCATGATTCTGGTATGGTGGCCACATTGCCTGTGTCCTGCCTTAATGACCATTTGATCGAGTTGATGGTAAAGTTTAGATGCATTTCATTACATTCAATGCTTTTTTCTGTGGGGAGCCCTCTTTGGCTCCCTGGAGCTATTGGGCTAATGTGTGATATTTTAGACTGGGGCATTAGTATATGGAGTTCGACCTACCGAGGACCACGAGCCAAAACCTGACCCCCTCAGAGAGGTTACAGGGAGCAGTGAAACTGGAAAACCACCCTGGGATTCAGGATTTTCCTTATCTGCCATTGACTGAGGTTAAGCATCCAGAAAGGTAGACATAACAAAACAAACCCCATATGGTAAGAAAAATACAAAGCAAAACTAAACACAGGGGTAGAACTCCCTCAAATTCCAAGGAAACAAGCAATAAAGCAAATGTCACACTCCACTCGTTCATGCAGCCCTCCCCTCCCCGCGCCGGCTACCCAGCACTCCAGTTCATTAGATAATGTGGTCCGTGGCGGACGTCTTCTCTGGCCCCGATTTCCATAAGAGGGGTTTTGCCTTCATGGCGACCTCTGCAGTGTTGGTGTGTGTGGTGACCAGGTGTCCTCATCAGTGCCGGGGCTGCATGTGCTTAGGGGCTTCCTTCCCTAGGCACCTTGTGAGTATTGCCCTTGTGTGTTAGGGTTCCCTTCCCTGGTGCGTTCGGGAAACCATTTCCATAGGGGATTTTATTGCTCGGCATTTACCCCGTCCTTGGAACCAGCTGGGGTTTTGTGGTCCTTGTTTGGTCTTGGGTAGGGAATAGTATCATGCTGGTTAGGGCATCAATGTGTTGTGCAGTCTGCCTACCTATGCAGCGGCCAGTTCCTGTTTCCTCTGGGAAATTGTGCTTTTGTTGGGTTTTTATTTTTTTTATTTTATTTTTCCTGGTGGGGATCTGCCATGTGTGGCTATAGTTCCACTTCTATTATTTTGATGACCCTCTGCTAGGCCCCCATGATTGTACACATTGCAGGAGTTTCAGTGTTTTGATCTTCCCCTTGTTAGCTATGGGTCTTATCCGATTAGCAGTGCCTTGCCCGGGCTTCCCATAGCAGTCAGTCTACGGGCCCTGGTAAACCCTGTCGGGGTTCGGTGAACCTATGGATGCGTCTTCAGAGTTCCAGCCCACCTCGTGCGTGTTTGAAGGTTGCTGTGTGCCCTTGTCTCAGGGTGACAGTCAACTCTTTTACCTCCATCATGCTGCACGTTGGGTCAACAACACCTTTGACCTGGAGCTTGCGAGTTGTGTTCTCTTCTTGTTCTCCAGTACTATTCTGATGACATGACTGTTAAAGTACAGGCAGCATCTGCATTGCATGCTAGGTTTAGGTTGCTGCAACACGCTAGGTTGGTTTCCCTCCCAGATGCCCCAGTATTGCCCCACACCGGTTATACAGTGTTTGCCCTTCTCCTCCCCCTCCCTGCGTATCATTACATTCAAAGCTGGTTATTTTGTTCTGCAGCCTTGTTTCAGTGGGATGTACCTCCTTGGTTCTGGGTCTTCAGGCTCTGCATCTATTACTGAATGTCTTTAAAGAGCTTTGTATATTTTTGGAGGATTGGTCAGAAGTCATTTCTTGAGGGTTCAGTCTTCTCCACTGGCCTTCTGGGTGGCCTTGTATCATACTATTTGATGTGTAGCTGCTAGCTCTGCAACTGTCTACATGATGTCGACTGGGGGTATCTTGGCATGTATTTTGACTTACTAACGTTCATGTCGGTTTAGGCAATATTGTACCAATTTCTATTTGTAATAAATTACTCTTCATTCACTTTACAGTATCTCATATATCTGTTCTTCTCTTCCACCCCACATCTACCCACTCCTTGTTCTTATTTCTTTAATTTACTGATGTCATATTGCTATAGTATTTCTTACAATTACAGTAGTACTTATTTCCTTTTACAGGCACTGCCATATGTTTGTCTTCTCATTGCTATGTTGTTCTTCATCTACGCTATTATTGGGATGCAGGTAAGCTCTGTCTTTAAGTTATGGTATTATAATAAACTGTCACATATTGAAATACTTTTAACACAAAAACAGGAAACTTTACATTTATTCAAGAATAAAATGTGCCAGATTGAAAAATCCTTTATTTGGTGATGCTCTAGTAATTATTGTATATTTTATATGTAATAATGTAAAGCATTATTCAGATTGGAAAACTTATGGCCTTGATATGCAATTGTTCTTTTCTTTGGCCATGTTTGCTCTTTTTTACCACATTGCAGTTGCCACATTTTCTCAGCCTATACATCAGGATGTAAATTTAATATTTAAAGTACTACAGTTCTCCTTGCTTATGACATAAATGAGCTATTCAATAATATAAAATATAAGAGCTCTCCATGCTTATAACATAAATGAGCTATCCAATATACCTTATTGGACTATTTTATAATACTCTGATAAAAGTACTGTAAGAAATATGCATTTTCATACTTCATACACGTAATAAATGTCTCTCTGTAAAAATCAGTACAGCACTGTGCTATTTTTCATAATAGATAATAAAATCTGTAATTGTGTATATATTAACATTTCACATTCAGAATATAATTACAGTATTGAAGAATAAATAGTCTGGAGAAAGACTTCATCACTCAAGTTAGATTGGCAAGTTTGGGTTACAGCTATGTGTAGTGTGGTATGGTCCACTTACACCCATACAATACACACACACCTCTATACCCAGTGTTATTGTCACATGCATCTTATCTTAGTGTTTCACTCTACTGCTATACTCTTCCATTTTTTTCATCACAATTCTCACTTTTCCCATTTGATTTATTTTTATGTAAGTGCTCTTGATTGTAAAATTCATTTAGCTATTCTTATATTTATATATGTAAGTGAAATAAATGCCAATTGTACTTGGGTGATAGCTAAACCAATTAGCAGAGTTATTCAGCATTTTTGTGTATATTATAATCAGGTCTTCAACTTATACATAAAAAAAAAAAGTTGGTAACCAAAATTTTTGGGGAATTTTCTGTATATGCCAGACTAAGTAGCATATAGTACAATTTAGAACAAAAACAGGTGCAATATATCAATATATATATATATATATATATATATATATATATATATATATATATATATATATATATATATATATATATATATATATATATATATATATATATATATATATATATATATATATATATATATATATATATATATATATATATATATATATATATATATATATATATATATATATATATATATATATATATATATATATATATATATATATATATATATATATATATATATATATATATATATATATATATATATATAAATATTAATAATAATAATAGAGCTTCACTACATGGCCTAGTAAGCAAAGCTCAATTTGCTTAATAGGCAAAAAAGTTCATTATTTTCAAATATTTCTTTCCAAATTGGTTCATTCCTAAGAATAATAATAATTAATACTATATTAATTAAGAACATGATTAGGAAGGTAATATATATAACCTTCCTAATATAGCCTAGGTTGGTAATATTAGGCTATATTAGGAAGGTTAGCTTAGCTTAGGGTAGGTTGGTTTGGTCAAATTTCTGTTGGTTTTGGATGAAAAGTCCCAATCATATATAGTACAACAAAACCATTATCATTCCATAAGAAAAAAAAATTGAAAAATTAAATTTTTCAGTAAAATTTGGCTGGTTAGGCAGATACTCTTAGGAGAAGACAATATGAGAGCACACATCTCATCTGGAGGAGAGGATCACACATCTGGAGGAGTGTTACTAGTGAAATACCACAAGGTTCAGTTCTTGCACCGGTAATGTTCATCGTCTACATAAACAATCTACCAGAAGGAATACAGAATTATATGAACATGTTTACGGATGATGCTAAGATACTGGGGAAGATTGGAGATGCAGATGATTGCAATGCCCTTCAAATTGATCAAGATAAAATAAGTGCCTGGAGTGACAAGTGGCAAATGAAATTCAATGTGAATATGCCATGTAATGGAATGTGGAACTGGAGAAAATATTTCACACACAACTTACAAATTATGTGGAAAGGAATTACAGAACTCTAATAAAGAATGAGACCTTGGGGTGGTTTTGGATATTAAGCTGTCACCAGAGGAACACACAAAGAACATTGTGAGAGGAGCAAATGCTTTGCTTTCCAACTTTGGACTTGCTTTTAAGTATATGGATGGTGAAATACCAAAGAAACTGTTCATGACTTGTGAGACCAAAATTGGAATATGCAGCAGTTGTATGGTGCCCAAATCTCAAGAAGCACATAAATAAACTGGAAAAGTTGCAATGGAACACTGCAAAATGGCATCTGGAACTGAAAAACAAAGAGTTACGAGGAGAGACTAGAGGCATTAAACATGCCAAAACTAGAAGGTAATTAAAAAGTGGTTATATGATCACCACTTACAAAATACTAACAGGAATCAACCAAATTAACAAAGAGGATTTCCTGAAACCAAAAGCTTCACAAACAAGAAAACACAGCTTCAAGCTAAGGAAACAAAGATGCTAAAAAACATTAGAAAGTTTTCTTTTGCACACAGAGTGGGTAGACGAACGGAACAAGCTAAGTGAGAAGGTGGTGGTCAAAACTGTCAGTAGTTTCAAAGCATTATATGACAAAGAGTACTGGGAAGATGGGACACTATGAGCATAGCTCTCATTCTGTACCCCCAGGCACATCACATTCCCTTCCTTGATGCTCAGGCTACAAACATATATGTATACAGTATGTATGTATACAGTATGTATGTATGTATGTATATATATATATATATATATATATATATATATATATATATATATATATATATATATATATATATATATATATATATATATATATATATATATATATATATTCTTATGGAATTATAAAATTTCACTCTATTGTATATGATTGGGATTTCCTTTTAGAGTGAGCACTATTATAGACCAAAGTAAAATTTTGACCCAACCTTTCCTATCCCAATCTAAACAACTACTGTACTTACTCTAGCCTATCCCAACCTAACTTGGTCAGTAATTCATGTTACTTATATATAATATTTTTAATTAAAAATTAACGCATTTGAAAAAGAAATATTTAAATATAATAAACATCGCTCAGCATGTTATCCGGATATGCCTGTTATTCGTTTTGGGTTTGTCCGAATAGCAATGTGATAAATTGATGAGGTGAGGTGAGTGGTCTGACAACAGTGTGTGGTAAAGTGGAATGTGGGAGTGGTATAAGTACTTTAACACCTAGGTACCTTTTGAGGCTACATAGAATATCAGGCTACACAGATTGTCAGTCTAGACAAACTTCCAAGCTTAACAGGCTGTCAGGCTAGACATGCTGTCAGGCTAGACAATCTGGAAACCTTGACAGGCCATCATGCTAGACAGAGTGTCAAGCTAGACAAAAGGATAAACAAAATATCAGGCTTGACATTCTGTCAGGCTACACTAGCTGAAAGTTTAGACAGGCCATCATGCTGGACATATTATCAGGCTTGACAGATTGTTAGGCTAGATGGGCTGTTAGGCTAGACAGGCTGTCAGGCTGGACAGTATCAGGCTAGACAATCTGTCAAGCAGTCAAGCAAAACAGGTTGTAAGGTTAGAGACAGGCAGACAGGGTAGACAGACTGCCAGGCTAGACTGGCCATCAGGTTCACCTTCACAGAGTCTGTGCCACTGACTGCCGGACTGCTGAGACAACACTGAACAGACAGATGAAAACATGTGTCCTTCTTGTTCAATATTCCTTTCTCTCTCTCTCTCTTCCCCTACCCAAACTCACCCTGTTTGAGTGTTAGCACCTGCTGTACAATGATGTAACATTATATATGCCTTAAATTGTGTCTAAACTTATTTTTTTTGTTAATACTGTATTTAAATGAATAAATAACCAACCAAATACTCTACAAATATTATGTTCTGTTACTTACAACTCATAACTCGCCTTCCAGGGGAAAATTTAAAAAAATATGATTAATCCTTGGATTTGCCTTAAACCAGAAAATAGTAGAACCAAGTAGGAAAGAAAACACATTTGATCGTATTTTTATAAACAACAATGAATATATTAGGGATATAATGATTACAAATACATATTACTCAGATCACAACCTAATTGAAGTTCATTCATGCATGGGGAATAGACCTGTGCAGCCAGTTTTAAATCCAAGAATGAGACAATTCAGCAAGTTCAATTTCAGTAATGAACAGATCAACTGGGAACAAATAATCCAAGCCTCCACAGAAATATACTGGCCAAGACTGCTACATAATGCAAACTTAATTCAGTGCCTTGGGAGAATAGGCACATTAGCACTAGAAATATGTACAAGTCACATACCACTGAGGAGAAAGAGAAAAAGATATAAACTGGAACGAGAACGGCATTCACTCTACAGGCAACAAAAACAAATTGCAGAACATCTTCAAATGTTCAACTCTATTCCTAGAATGACAGAGAAGACTATATAGAGAAATAGAAATCATTATCAGGTCGTGTGACCTACCTTGAGGTTACCTTGAGGTGCTTCCGGGGCTTAGCGTCCCCGCGGCCCAGTCGTCGACCAGGCCTCCTGGTTGCCGGACTGATACAGAGTTGCCGGACTGGTTGACGGACCTTCACATGACTTGATAATGGTCCAGGACAGACTAAAAGATTGTAGTTTCTCTACTTTCTGATGTGTGGTTTGGTCATCAATCTAAAATACTTTTTCTCCTATGCAAAATTTAGAACAAAAACTATATCCTGCATTGGGATCTTGCTCAAAAGTGATGGAACCTTCACAGATGACAGTAAAGAAATGAGGGAAATACCGAGTTACATCACTAGTATCAAAATTAAAATATTTGTTAAAATTCCATTTACTGTTTGATTATTATGGCACAAGTTGTAAATTGTGCGCCTTTACATTGCGAACAATTTGATATCAAAATGAACGATGTAGCTC